TGTGCTTACTTGCTTTTTTTTGTTCTTTCTTTGTTAATTTAACTCATAATTTTATTTTTAACTTTTTTTTTATTATTAATTAATTAATCTTATTATTTCATATTTTTTCTTCATTTTTTCATTCTAATTAACTAAATAAGATATTTTTTTTTTTTAATATTTAAAAAGATTCAATTAAATTGGTGAAATGGGTGCATCAGACTTAGGTTCTGGTTTAGCAAATTGCATTAATCTCTCAAATTTGACACTTTAACTTGGGTAAAAACTTTTTATTTGTTTTTGATTATGATATTTTTAATTATAAAAACTAATTTAAAACAATAAAGCTCTTTTTTCTTTTTCTTTTTATTGTGCTTGCTTTTTTTTGTTCTTTCTTTGTTAATTTAACTCATAATTTTATTTTCAACTTTTTCTTTTATTATTAATTAATTAATCTAATTATTTCATATTTTTTCTTCATTTTTTCCTTCTAACTAATTATTAAATAATTTATTTTTTCTTGAATATTCAAAAAGTTGGAATTAAATTGGTGACAAAGGTGTATCAGGCTTAAGTTCTGGTTTAGCAAAGTGCATTAATCTCTCAAATTTGAAACTTCAGCATATGTAAAAACCGTTTTGGATTGTGAAATGTTAAATTATAAAAATGAATATAAAAAAAAAAGTTCTTTGAATTTATTTGATAGCTTTTATTTGATTTATTTTTTTATCTTTTTATTCTACTAATTTTATTTTGTTTATTAATTTAACAAATAATTTTTAATTTAAAAGTTTATTCTATCTATTTGATATTTATTTAAATTTTACACAAATTTATTATAGATATATTTAAAAAATGTCTTAACCATTAAAACTCAAACTAAAAAGAAAGTGCCTTAAATCAAATAGATTAGTTGTCTTTATGATATAATCCAACTGATAAACAATTGGTGAAAAAAATATGAATAAATATAAAATGTTTGAATAATATAATATATTATTTAATATTTTGAAACATTTTTTTAACCTAAAATATAAATATTTTATTAGATTTTATTATTGTTTGTTTTTATATTATTAATAAACATCATTCATATTTTTGTAAGTTCATAAATTATTTATAAAAAATATAAAAATTAAATTTACTTAAATAAATTAATTCTTCTTAAGGAAACCCTCCAGTTTTTCCAAAAACGATCTAATAATTTGAAGCAATTAATGTTATATTATATCTTATTAAATTATATAAATGCCAATCTTTTATATGCCAGCTATATTTTAATCTTAAATATTATCCATTAATCATATTTCTATCCTTTTTTTTGTTTATCATGATTAATTAATTAGATACCAT